GAAGCGACGCATGGAGGAAACGGTTAGGAAGACTATGCGTAACAGCTCATGCGCAGTCAAAACTGTTGGAATTCTTGATTAATGAAGCAAAAACCTCGGGTAGAGGAACAATCTCTGTTAAGATACTCAAAGAACTTGGTTCTTGGTTCTTGATCCTTGATCCTTGATCCTTGATAAAGGCGGATAGTTGAGTGTTGGGTACTTGAAGCCGACGAATAATGATCTCGGTCGTGGAGAAGGAATGAAATTTTAGATGACATGCTATATGGATAAACGATGTAGGTTCCATCACCTCAGGTTGCCGAGGTAATAGAACCTAAGGAGCAGTTGTGGGAGAACATTTTGTGAATGACAACACATGGTTAAGGTGACACCGGAGTGTCAGCCGAGGTGCCACGTGGCCTGGTCACGCTGCCGAGATGATCTCGGCTAAGCCGAGATTATCTGCAGAGATACCGGAATTTGAGATAAGCAGATAAAGGACAAAAGTCCTAGAACAGAGGAGGACCTCATTCTGGATAAAGATAAGGCTCAAGAAAAATTTATCTCTATCTAGATGAGCGTCTAGGATATGCATGGAGCTTAAGTCCATTGAAGTAAGGCTTCTAGAGGGATTAGGTCAGTGCTGGTTATAAAAGCATGGCACCCTCGTGGGTCAGGGGTATGTTCTTTCTTGTGAGTTAAGCACTAATTGCTATTTGTGAGAGATATTTGAGTACTAACTTGATTGTCGGAGTGTTCCCGGATGGACAAACTACCGCCGGATTCTCATCTTCTTGTACAGGTTGGTGGGCTTAATCTATTCTGCCGTTATTCTCCAGCTGAGTTTTCCATTTGGTTGTATGGTCGGAAATCAACACCCGCTTGTGGCTATGATTAAATTGATGTATTGTAAAATTCATAGTTAAAGTGAATGGGAATCACACATCATGTTTTTGGATATAATTCTGAATTCATAGAATTACTCTGATTCCAAATCTAGAAATTATGATTTTAAAATCCTCCACAGATTCTTCTTTTTCTTTTAAATCTTCCAAAATTGCGTTCAACAATCACAAACAGTGCACATTAGTTTTTTTTTCTTTTTTTTGTTTTGTCCAAAGGGTAAGACAGATCAAGTGAGGTAATCTACTCATAAATCTAGTTTTCCACACCAGCGGTTTGAATGAAAAGAGTTAAGTAAATCTCCAGATTTGGTAAATATAGAGTGGGGTCAATATATGTCCAAGGTTGGAAAAAGAGGAATTTGCTTGCTGCAGTTGTTTTTTAAGTTCAAAATTGATAATTAAAAAATTAAAAATTAAAAACACTCCTCCTCAATTTTTAAATAATTAATTTTTTAAATTTTTTTTAAAATTATTTCTGACTAATAAACTATAAGCATAAAGTAATTGACACAAATCCAAATTAAAATAAATTATAAACAAGTCATTTAAGTTGTAACAAACAATCCTAATGTAGCAACCGTCTCAATGCCTCTCAATTAAAATTTAGATGGCATATAGATCTACATACTGTAAAAAAATTCAGAGCATTTCCCCAAAAAAACTTAAGTAGATATTAGCTTCCAAATTAGATTGTTCTAGCAGGGCCCTTGCTGAAAGCTCTGTAAAAATGGAAATATGTCTATCAAGTACAAATTTGTCACCACCAAGGGAACAATGCACTCTAATTGGTTGATCATTGATCAATGAGATAATCTCACTTCTTATACCAAAATGAATTGATGAACACCAAGTATAATGTTCATACACACTCATTCAATATGTGAACAAATTTATACTTGTGTATGCAGTTGCTAATTGGCCAAACACAATTCCCAAAATTATGCATGAAAAAGGTTCACCTGATTATTAATGTAGGACTATAAACGAACCCAATTTAGCTAGAAATTTTTGTGTGCTAGGAGGTACATGTCAAGTTTAACTAGAAAATTAAAAACTTGACAATTTCTTAAAGACTGAACAAATTTCATTTATTTACCTTTTGAATTGATCTGAATTAAGGATTAAGCTAACTGATCACTTACCTATCTTAGAGTTTCTGGAGACAGCAGTTACATATACAACCCGAAAAAACAAAATATTGGAACAGCAATGTCAAAAGCTTCAACAGAAAATTTGACCTCTCAAGTGACCAGAAATAGCAAGTCTGCAAGGGAAAAAAAAAAGGTTAAACGAAAAAGTAGAAGAATAGTCAGTACTCAGTACCCAGATTCATACAAATACATGTACGGTCAAATCAAATATCTAAGATTCAAGATCACATAGGGAGTGTTGAGTGAAGCTTATTAGTAAAAAGTAAAAAGTTGATAATTAAAAAAAGTAAAAATCAAAAGCATTTCTCCTCAAGATTCATATATTCAGTATTTTTTGATTATTTTTGCATAATAAATTATAAAAAGAAGTTGCACCAAACAATATTTGTACATGAATGGATGGTGAAGGGGAGAGAGAGATAGATGTAGAGCTCCCTTCAATCCAAAACAAGATCCAACTTAGGGTTAATGCAGCTCCTGACATATGCAAGCCACAAATCTATCCAATTAGTAAACCAAAACAAACAAAGATTGGATAGGAATGAGGGATCCATAGTTCAGCAGCTCAATCTTCCCGGTATGATCCTCTATTGGACTTCAAGGAGCTCCACTCTAATCCCTTGATTTCACCAACACCCTTTCAACTCAATAACCTCTCAAAGCCCTAATACCACGTCTCTATAACCAACCAAACCCTGCAAAGAAACCACAATATCCCCTTCTCAAACCCCAATACAGAAATACCAAGAGTCCATGTAGTAAATAAGACGCTCTTAACATGATATTTGAATTTGAGCCATACAGCTCTATTTGACTTATTAATTTATTTAACTATCACTTCTCTATTTTTTTTCAAAAAAATTAATAAACTCACTTTTTTTTTCCTGCTAACCAGCCTTACTTCCTAGCAATAGGAAAGAATCTACAAAGAAGAAATACAGAAACTACAAATCTGCAACTAAGACCATTTTAAGAAACCCAAAGACCATTAAGAAACTTCAAATGAAATCCACTGATCTCAGACGACTCATTATAAAAGTAGTAGATCCACCCTTGGACTTTATGATACAGAACACAGATGAATCGAACTGATCCATGTCAACCCAAACCCTAAAACCATTTTGTTGGTGTTTGAGAAGTTACTAATAAGTTATTTTAGATTTTAATTATTTTAATAGGTTTAAATTTTTGGACTTGTGTGGTTTGTTTTTGGAAGAGTTATTTTTGAAATTTTTTTTCAAAATTATGTTTAGTTTGTAGTTTTTCTCAAAAAATTTCTAAAATTATTTTCTCTCTCTTACACATTAATTAATAATTTTTTCTCTCTCCTCTCTCCTTCTCAATCACTTTTTCTTGAAGAACTTCAGAGTTTATTCATTCATCTTAATCAATCAGTTACATTCAAGTGCTTTATATATACTAGCTACCATATGTATATATATCTATATGTATCTATGTAACAAACTATATAACTGCCTAACCAATATAACTGCCTAACCACCTACTCTCTCTCTAACTAATCCAGGTATACAATCACATGTGATGCACAGCAGCATAATACAAACCACTCCCTATCATTTTTTTCATACACATCTACTCAATTACAACAAAATATCAAATCATCCAAAATTCCAAAACTACTTTCAAAATATAAAACCAAACAAATCAAAAAAAATTCTAAACTTTCTTCCCAAATTTTTTTTTTTTTTTTTGAAAATCCTGTCACATTATAATCAAATGACCAAATGCCCTCACCCATTTTAAAAATATAACCACTTTCACCCATGTGTCTCATTTAAACATCATGGAGGATATAACTGTAATTTCACAGTTAGCTTTTACTTATTTTGTCAAATGGTTTGATGGCAAAAAAGTCATTTTGACTTTTTTAGCCCAAGCTGCAAAACGCAACTTTTTTCTTTTGTTCCCAAATGACACCTTTGTTAACATGGAAAAAATTATCAGAGATGGTAAGCAGGCAAGTGATGACTGTCAACGACAGCAGGTGGTAGCTACGGTCGGCGGCTGGCTGCCAAAGCCATATATGAAATTTATGATTTAGTTACAAATTATTATAATGTTCACAAAAGGTGCACCGGACGATTCTTTATGATTATGTTATGAAAATTGTAATTTTGTTAAGCAGTTTCAATGGTGACCAAATTTAAATACTTTCTATAGTAATAAAAGTAAAGACATTTTGTGCTTCATATTACAAATTTCAATAATGCTTCGCGTCCCAAATATTGTGCACAATTTTCTCAGGTCACTACCAGAATGAACTCGTGTTTCTCGGTTTTTCCTAATCAAAGTCAATACTTATAAGCAACTACTCTAAATCAACAACCAATACAAACTCAATCAAATGTCAAAACTATAACTTGTTAAGCTTACTGCGTTGTTAAAGCATCCTTTGTTTTCAAATTTCAAGTAACAAGTATGAGTAGCATTGAACCACATTTTTGCCACAAATATGTAAGCCAGACATGATATTTGTACATTACGTATGATGTGTGCACAAAGCTCCTAATTAGATATTACAAGTAAAAACTATTGCAGACATGTTGACACAAACACAGACATGACTCAATGGAATTGCCATAAACCATATACTAACAGAAGCTGAACACGTGTGAAATGTAAACCGTAAAAAATACTGTCTTTTATCTCTCTCTTATATAAATGGCAAAAGACAGTATTTTTTATGGGGAGCTGCTAAATGGCCCCACACAATTTCTTTGGACCACCCACTTCTTTGGAACCCCACCCACCAAAATTGCTCCCCCACTTTTGTTCTTTGAGCACCCACCAAAATCCCAACTTTGCCCTTTCTTTGAACCCCCACCCTGCGACTCTTACGGTTATTAAAACCAGATGTTAATTTGTTATGGGAAATGTGTTTGTCTTGGACTAATTTGGAAACTATAAAAACATTACACAACCTCAGTTTCTGTTCATACCGAAGGGGGGGCTCACATTATAATATAGTATAGATATCAACCAAACAACCAACCAACCAAAAAATATAAATAGATAAATTTGGCATTAGCACACGATAATTTATAATCAGAAACACAAAGCATCTCAAAACAGCACATAAATGTCTATAAGGCATACCACCATAATCCTTGTTCTCTGGATCAACATAAGAATCAGGAAGGACAAAAAGAACACCAGGCAGACCTGTAATAAATAAAACATGTAACCGTTCAACATAGAAGCAACCCTTATCACATATTTGGAAATATGCATAGATTATAGATATGAAGTAACACATACTTATAAACATGAATAGTAACACAAACCTTCGAGCTTATTAGATGTCTCCTCATCAATTTCGCATCCAAAACCAAAGTACCTCTCACAGGACACATTGTAAATTTTTTGCTTTGCTTCCTCTTCACTGGTACATAATAATAACAAACAAATATATCATTTCAGAATTAGAGATGCAATTGTCTCTAGTAATTCCACCACCCAGATGAAAATGACCAAATACGGAGACCGCATAATTAAATAACAATATCTTCCAATCATAGATAATAAACCATTGATGAGTAATATGGGCACTAAAACAACTCATAAAACCCAAATCATGGCCTCAATTTGATTTTTTTCTAAATTGAGTTTAAGAAGGCCATAAAATTTAAGAGACATTTGATATAAGTCCATTAGCATTCAAAGCTATTCATTGCCCTTTCAGGCTCTTTGCTCTGCCAAGATGGACTTTGTAACAAAACCGCATACCCAGCTGCATATGACATTCAATGTTTCTTAAAATGGTGGTACAAGAAGAAGTTCCTAAAAGGTCATAAATCATAATGCAGCATGTAGGCCTCAAGGCAAAATGCTAATGCAAATTTTTGTGTTTTGTCTTTACTGATCAGCAACTCCTTTGAGTTTTTAAGAAGCCCAGAACACAGAAGAAAGACTTTGATGAAAGACCAGTAGCATTCAAATCTCCGTTTGCCTTTCAAGGTTCTTTGCTTTGCCATGATGAACTTCAGGTAATCCGATATGACACTGTATTATCCAACTGAAATGGCTGACAATCCAATATGACATTGGCACGCCAAAATGGCTGACAAGCTATATGAGGAATGCATAATTCACATAGCCTACTGAGGAAGTGTCTCAAAGTTCATAAGACAACACCAAAGGCTCGGACACTCTTGCTCTGTCTACTGCTTTCGACATGGTAAAGAAGTAAACAATAAATATAACTTCAAAAGTATATTACATTATCAAAACACGAAAACCTTTTTTTATCTTGTTTTTTATGCGTACTGGCCATTTAAATCTGCTACTTCAAAAGTTAACACAGTCAACAAGTTAAAAGTTGTCATGTGCAGATGTTAGGAGAAATGGCCGTGGGCATTCGTTCCTGTTTCAAAGAGGGATGGACAAAAGGAAGCTTTAAAATTTTATAAAACAAAAACAAACAAAAAATTTCAGAAATATAAAAAAGTTATGCAAATGTCAAAACTATAACTTGTTAAGCTTACTGCGTTGTCAAGGCATCCTTTGTTTTCAAATTTCAAGTAACAAGTATGAGTAGCATTGAACCACATTTTTGCCACAAATATGTAAGCCAGACATGATATTTGTACATTACGTATGATGTGTGCACAAAGCTCCTAATTAGATATTACAAGTAAAAACTATTGCAGATACAAATTTCAATAATGCTTCGCGTCCCAAATATTGTGCACAATTTTCTCAGGTCACTACCAGAATGAACTCGTGTTTCTCGGTTTTTCCTAATCAAAGTCAATACTTACAAGCAACTACTCTAAATCAACAACCAATACAAACTCAATTCACCACATCGATAAGAACGATTAAGATTTGTTTATCAAGAAGAAACATAAGGTTGCTGCTACATTCACGAAATTGCCTGATATTATGAAGTTCCAAGTCCAAAGTTTTGTCACATAAACAAGCATAAGTAGTCATCACCACACCACCTAATAAATACAGCCATAGAATAAGAAAGCTCAACTTCTTTTCTACCCATAGACCAACATATGTAGCCTAAGGTTTTCACCGCATATTCTCACGACGCCTGACATAACGGGTCCGGTCATTGTATCTTGGTCTGTCTTGAGCTCTTTGGGGCACTGGTTCCACCCTCCTCTGTCTTTCGGGAGACCTTTTGACAATCTCGCCATTCACAAACAGCTCAGCTGTAAATCATGAAAATAACAATAGTCAAAATGGCCCAATTATTTGGTAGCAACGACATTATCTTCTAAGATAAGGCCGAATATTAGGCGCTGAGAGATCATGAAACCTGAAGTTAAAACCAGTTGAAGCAAATGACAAACAATAATGAAACTTTACATCAATCGAGCAAACAAAGGAGTTAAAAGTAGAACTTCCCCCAAAGGCCTAAACATTTCCAAGTGTGTGTATAGTTCTATCCTGACTCCTTAGCTTTTGTTTCCCAATAAGAACTTAGATTGTATATCCAAAACAAAACAGCAGCAGCAGAAGCAATGAATACAATATTGAGAAGTTACAGCTAAAACAGCTGACAATATGGGCTTGGTAAGAAGTCCATTAGCACTCAAAACTATTCATCGACTTTAAAAGGCTATTTGCTCTGCCAAGATAGGCTTGGTAAACCAAGCATGACATCTGCACAAGTGCAGTGAAGTAGCTATTTAACAAGACTGCATACCGTGACATATGTGAAATCCAATGTTTTTTGACACAAATACAAGATGCATCTAAAAGCTACTATGACAGCACGTAGGCCTCGAGGAAAAAATGCAATTGAAATTTTGTGTGTTTCATCATTATTGATCTTCAACTAAATTGAGTTTAAGAAGGCCATAAAATTTAAGAGACATTTGATATAAGTCCATTAGCATTCAAAGCTATTCATTGCCCTTTCAGGCTCTTTGCTCTGCCAAGATGGACTTTGTAACAAAACCGCATAAACCAAAGTACCTCTCACAGGACACATTGTAAATTTTTTGCTTTGCTTCCTCTTCACTGGTACATAATAATAACAAACAAATATATCATTTCAGAATTAGAGACGCAATTGTCTCTAGTAATTCCACCACCCAGATGAAAATGACCAAATACGGAGACCGCATAATTAAATAACAATATCTTCCAATCATAGATAATAAACCATTGATGAGTAATATGGGCACTAAAACAACTCATAAAACCCAAATCATGGCCTCAATTTGATTTTTTTTGATTTTATTTAATCCTAATTTCAGGAAAGATAATTATGGTACTACTATCCAGCTAATGGTTCAGACTCTCCTAAATGAATTGTAATCTCTCATCTAAATGAAAAACTAAAAATGTGATTGTGTTTTCTCACTACGATGTTTAGAGGGCTAAGAAAGCAAAGCATGTAAGAAAGGAATATGAATGAGATTTGTCCTTTTTCCCCCCTTTATGAGCAGTCTCGGTATTACAAATATTTTATAAATTATAACCAATTGGAGCTTCTATTTACAACCAGTAAATTTCTCATTATACCAATAATATGCATCAAAGTACTTGTACATTCTCACTCTGTTTTTTTGGGAGGAAAACATTTTCCAATGAAAAACATTTTCTACGGAAAACTTGGAACAAAATATTTTGTAGTGGTGGTGAAACAAAGGTGGAGGTAGTGGCATGGTGGGGGTGATGGCGACCGTGCCCGTGGTGATGGTGATGTGGTGGTGGAGGTGACAGTAGTGGTGGTAGTGTGGTGATCTAAGAAGCACGGACACTTCTAAAAAGGTAACGTATCCGTGTCGTGTCCGTGTCGGACACCGACACTCTTTGGACACTTTCCCGACACGTGTCCGACACTCTTTATAGCGTGTCCTATCTTTTAAAGACCCGGACACTCTATGGACACTTGGAGGACACACGTGTCCATCTCTTAAACACACATGTCTATCAATTAGACACATGTGAAACTAATTATAAGTTTGAACAAAACAACTTAAGATACAATAATAAAACAAAAATCATATAAATTTATAGGGATTAATGTCATATTGCATTTTTTTATTATTTTTGAATGATATATTCATATATATAACATATAATAAATATATAAAATTATATATTTCATGCGTGTCCCCCGCGTGTCGTGTCCTACATTTTTTGAAAATTATCGTGTCGGCGTGTCCGTGTCGTATCCGTGTCGTGTCACGTGTCCGTGTCCATGCTTCTTAGGTGGTGATAGTGATAAAATTTTAGCTTTAAAAATATTTTCTGCCTAAATAAACTTATTTTCCATTGACCATGAAAAAAATTATCTGTTGACTTTCGTTTTCCATCATAACAAACATTTTCCACGCCCAAACATATGGAGCGTATGTAGAAAGTCTTGCACAAATTGGCGTAATGAGATATAAATCTCACCATTTTTAGTGAGAAATGAAATAGGCAAAAAATAAGAGAGTTACACTATGTTTGGGAATCTACGAGAGAAAAGAAAAGAAAAGAAATGATTATTTAAGTTATAAAAAAAAATAATTGTGATTTCTCTCATTCTTCTCTGGATAAGTAAGAAATAAAAGAAAATAAAAGAAATAATTATGATTTCCCTCTTTCTTGTTTGGTTAGATTTCATAAAAGAAAAGAAAAAAAAAATATTTTTTATATTATATTACTAAATAAACCTTTTTATGGGTGTCAATCATTTTATTTCTTTTATTTTTACAGGGACAATTAATATTATGAAAATATAAGAATCTAGCGATTTCTTTTCTCTCCTGATCTCTCTACTTTTGGAAAGATTGAAAATAAAAGTCATAAGAGAAATGGATTTCATTTCTCCCCATTTCTTTCCACTTAATTTATCCAAACAAGTAAGTAAGAGAAATATGTATCTCTCCATTTTTTTTTTCTCTCCAAACCACTCAATCCAAACAGAACTCACCAGTGCCTACCATTTTCCATTATTTCTCACCTAATTTACAAACTAAATAAGAAAGAATTCTTACCAAATCACCCCATCCAAACAGAATGTAAATTCCAAAAACATTTTAACAATCTAACAGCATTAATAATAAGATAACAACAAACTCCATATATATACATATCTTTACATATATTGATACAAATATACATATATGCAGAGGGAAATTACCTTCCAAGGACCTTGGCTAGGGTTTGGATGTAGCAATCGATCATCTGCTGTTTGGTTGCGCCTTCACCACCAGGCTTGTCCATGACGATAAGCCAGTGCTCGTAATCGCATCCAGGGAACAGCGGAGCCATCTCCGTCGGCGGTCGGTCGCTGAAGTTCGAACCGGAGTTGAGCGGCGAATAGCTCGACCCTCCAGACCGGTTCACCCTGCACCTGACCAGGTTCAGCCGAGCCGCGCCGGGAACAACCATCCGGAGTGAGTGAGAGAGAACGGAGGTGGACCGTGCGGGCCGAACGAAGCCCGGGAGAGGTGGAGCTCTGGCTATGGAAGATGTGGATGAGAGAAGGCGTTTGGAGACGAAGAGAGATGAGAATCGGACGGCCATGATTGAACGGCACACTGTTGTCGCCATGGCCGAAGTGATGGAGCAGGAAGAGGGAGGAAATAGAGAGTTGTAAGCTGATGAAGGCGGATAGTATTGAGGAAATTGCTTGTTCTCTAGGGTTCAAGTCACTCTGTAGGATAAATTATTGTAAAATTATTTATTTAGTTTTTTTGTTTGTTATATAAATTAAAATTTATTTAGGATTATTTAAAATAATTTAAATAATTATATTTTTTGCCTTTTATAAAATGATATAAAAAAATTTTAAAAAATTTTGAAAAAAATATATGATGTAATGAAAAAATATATATATATATATATAAAAAGATAGATTATTTAGGAGTTTAAAATAATTTAAAAAATTATAAAATTATATAAAAAATAAAAAAGTCATTATTATTTATAAATAAAAAATATTAAAAAAATATTTTGTCTATTTTTATAATACACTTTTTTGGGTAAAAAAAAATTACATATGTAAAGTCACAAAGTTTGATGGTAATGTTAGGTCCTTGGAGGCCTACTAAGGATTCTGTTTTGATAATCCGAACCGTTTAATATGTAAAACAAGTCGAGTAATATATTCCTATAAGAAATCATATTAATCGGATATCGTTAAGTATATGATCAAATTAGTTTTGTATAAACCAAATGGATGGTGTAATAGTTAACTATTGAAAAAAACTAATCCGATCATATAGCTATCGATATCCGATCAACTTGATTTTTTACAAGCATATAATACTCGATGAGTTGTACATATTGAACGGTTCAGATTATTAAAATGGGGCCTGTGATGGCCCCCACAGGCCGACCATCGTTGTCTAAATAATTTACCCTGAAATAGGCAATTATTTTATAGGTAAGACATACTGGGGCAGCAGTGCAGCCGTACAACCACTCGTCTTTTTTCCACTATACATTTTATTTATACAATTTTTTATTACAATTTTTTTCACAAAAAGTTAACACAAACATCCAGCTTTTTTTCCTCAACTTTTTAGTTCAAAATAACAAAAAAATGCAATTATTTAGAACACCTCAAACAACTCTATTATATAAGGGAAATGAGTTTTCTAATCTATAAGTTTTGTGAGAGTTTTAATATTTTAATCTTAATTTTTTAATTTTTTGATTTTAAAAAAAAAAAGATTCAGCATTTATTAATTTCTCTCAACCCACTAATTTTTTTGACTTCTCTCATAATTACTGCAACATGCTTTTCAATTTCTCTCCTACACTATGATTACACACAAAAATAAAGAAGATAAGAATTTATCTATAGATCTTAAAGAGATATAACAACATCTAAATTAAAATTATGATTTAGTAACATAATTTTTTTTTTTTTATGTATATGTATCAAAATTTTAAATCACTTCATGAGACAAATTAATCAATTTTTTGAAATTATTGATTTTTAAATTTATAAAAATAAATTAAAAAAACTATTGACTTATTTATTTATTTAATAACAAAAATATTTTAATTGACTGATTTATTTATTTAATAATAAAAATATTTCTTAATCTCTCCATCCTAATCTCTCTCGCTGATTTCCAAAAAAAAAAAGTATTATAACTTGCCTTCTTTCTCTCTTTCCCAAAAAATAAGATAATATTGTTCATGAAAATTGTAGATATCTATCTATATCTTATATATTACATTATAACATAAAATAAAAAATAAAATAAAAACTAAAAATTAGATATACAAATAAATAAAATTAATAAATTTGATTTTTATTTATTCAGTTAAAATATTTCTTTTGCATCTCAATATCTAATTTTCAATTTTAAAAATCTTTACAATTTATCTAAACAAATCTAATTTGAAAATATCTCCCATCATTATACTTTAAATCAATAAAACTCACATGTCTATCACATATCTAACATACATCATAACTTACCTAAATAATAATAATTAAAAACAAATAGAAATCACAAATAAATTAAATTTTTTAAAAAATAGAAACCCACGGCTCCATCTTAAATAATTTTTTTTTTTAAAAAAAAACCAAATAGAAACCACACAAAAATATTTATAAAAAAAAAAGATAAGAATTTAGATATGGATCTAAAAAAAATATGACAATATCTAAATTTGAATTATGATTTAGTAATATAATTATCTATTTTTCTGATGTTATAGCGATCCCGAGTTTCCCTCTGTTGTTTATTGTATTCCGTACTCGGTTCCGTGGATGATTGTTGTTGTCTATATCGCGTTTTTGTCATTTAACTCTTTGTATTTGAGTTTTAGGTTATGGTGGGCAGGTTTGAAACATGTTGGTTATGTTTAGAAACAAATAGCTTATGCCCAGATTTTGGCCTTCCCGCTCGAGCGGGGCATTTCACGCTCGAGCGGCTAGTTTGACGCTCGAGCGGGATTCTTCAGCCTTCAGTATTTTCGCACTACAGGTCATCGGACGCTCGAGCGTCCACTTTCACGCTCGAGCGGGGACCTTCGTCTGCAGAACTTCTGGAAGTGTGCATTCCACGCTCAAGCAGTGCTTTTCACGCTCGAACGGGAGTCCATGTCTGACGCTCGAGCGGGGCGTCCCACGCTCGAGTGGACTGTAATGTATTTCAGTCCGTGGTGAAGCCATTTTGAATCACTTTTTTGGCCCTCTCTCTCTCTAAAGCATTCCAAAACCCTAGGTTGAAAGCTTCTCACTCTAGAATACCCTCTCTCTCTATATTTTGATCTTGATTAAGTGAGACCCAACCTTTGTGTTTTCATTAAAGTGTTGGGGCTTCTCAAGACCTCCATTTTGATCCAAAAAGTTGTGGGTTTGGAGCACCTTCGAGTTTATTCATCATCTCCTTTGGATCTCTTCACTTGAAGTAGGGATAACCTACTCCTCTCTATGAGTTTTGAAATAAATGTTGGGTATTTAGCATAAATGGTGAGTTATGGAAATTTTTTGAAGTTAGGGTTTTGAGATTGAAATTATAAATGAGGGGTTTGTTAATGTGGAGTTCCATGTGTGTATGAGACCTTAGAAAATGGGGTTATTGGTATAGAATTGATGAAATTGAACCTCAGGGTTGATATTTGAAAAAGTGAGAAAATGCCCTAATTATGTTTGAATAATTAATTTGGGGAAATATGAAATTGAGTTGAAAATCATGAAATCGGAAAATTATGAGATTAAATGGTGTAGTTGGATTGATTAATCACTCACCTGTGAAAATGTTGACAATTTATCTGTTTGATGAATTTATTATTTGTTTAGAAATAATTGTTTTAGGCTATCGGTGAATTAAAACTAATCAATTGGGTATGCCATTGAATATGACGGTTGCATTAACATATTGAATATGTACCTGGATTGATCATTGTACATGATAAAGCTTTTAAATACATTGCATATATATCTTGTTTATGAGGAGATAGGGGATGTACTCCATGGTTTGAGAGAAGATAAGAGATGTATTCTCAAACCTATTTGAGAGGAGATAGGGGATGAACTCCGTTGATAACTAAGTTGGCCGGAGCGTTCAGGGTGAAGGTCCCAAAATCCTAATTACATTTGCATAACGTAGATAAATTGAAGTATTGAAATGTTAATAAAATGAGTTGTAGTCTCATTTGAAATTGAAGTATTGAAATGTTAATAAAATGAGTTATAGTCTCATTTGAAATTGAAGTGTTGAAGTGTTAATAATGTGAGTTGTAGTCTCATATTAATTAATCATGACCGAAGTATTGTTAACATGAGTTGTAGTCTCATTATAAACTGTCTGGATGAATAGAGAACTATATCTATGAATTAGTTTGGATAATGAAACGGAAAGGGATTGAAATATATTTGTGAATATGGATTGGTTATGAAAGAGATGTACGTTTGTTTATATGAGTTAAACATTTATCAAATACTAATATTTTAGTTATTGCTCATATTTAGTTTAACGTATCTCTACTGAGTTTTGGTTCACCCTGTATGGGATATCATTTTCAGGTACAGGTGAGGTGCCGCCTCCAAGGATGTAGCTTGGGAGGTTTAGAAGCTGACGACTTATTTTGTAGTTATTTTTGTATTACATGTAATTCAAACCAAAGGCTTAATATGTTTAGAGTTAGAATTCTCTTTTGTTGAACTCAAGTGTTGACTTGGAAAGTTGTAAGCCCGTAGGACATTTACTTTTGTTGTCAATATGTAATACTTTTGTACTAAATACTCTGATAAATAGAAATATGTTGTATTCTCTTATGTCTATGGATGTCATAAATGTTGGGTTTATATATATTATTTTGAGGGCGTTATAGATGTATATATATCAAAATTTTAAATCACTTAATGAGATAAATTAATTAATTTTCAAGTCTTATTTAAAGAATAATCTGATTAGTCGTCACAACTCCTAAACTTTGCGGGCACTAGCAGAGGAGCTAACAGATTAGGTTAGGTGAGGTTCAAATTGGTGGAGGTAACATTCTCTTACTCTATAAATTTATTTATTTTTAAATTTTATTTTTTACATGTGTGATTCTCTTTCTCTACTGTTGGTTTGATTTTGGTTTCGGTTTTAGTGAGGTTTATGTACTTGTTTATAGGTTTGCATTGTAGGAAAGAATTATCGGTGATTATGGTTGCAATCTAAATATCTATGTCCGTTCCATGCTAAGGATTTTGATCAGATTTTGTTTTCTTCAGTGAAAATCATAAAATTGAAATAAAAAAAATGGGTATCAAATTTTTTATTTTTTATTGGCATTTTATTTTATAAAAAATGTGAAAATTTATTGAGAATTCAAGATTTTACTATAACATTAGATTTTTGTATAATTAAGTAAATTTAAAACTTTTAAATATCATTATGCTTTTTATTTTTATCCCTTTCTATCCCATTAGACCATTCCGGCTACTTGTTAGTTTGTTAATTATAATTCAATTAATTGAAAATGAAAGCTTAATATAAATTTTCATATATATTATAGTTAATTTGTTACAACTATAGGTATATATAATAGCATAATATATATGAATAATCTCTAAATACAATTTTTATTTATTTATGTGATTAAAATAGTCGATCTTAATCGTATATAGAAGAGTTAGATTTTTTTTTATCTCTAAGAAATCCAATCTATTTTTTTTTTT